GATGTATGCCAGGCAAATTTATTTAATCTTAAAGATTTATGCTAAGGGCTCGTTTCTCCAGTGACGAAGGGAATTTAAGCAACGGGGCGCTCCACTTGTTTTGCTGTGGGGGGAGAAAAAAAAATATCAAACGCACGTGCGCAAAGCACACAAAAATAAAAATTCCAAAAAAACAATTGCTGGTAATTTGGAGGTTGTGATTTTAGATTATTACGGATATTTCGGACTGAAATGTATTTAATTTATTCGAATTGATAAATTAATTAGGTTTACCTTATGTCGCTGCTTATATTTATATCATTGAAATGACAATTGTCATTAAATTGTGATTTTATTGATTTCACTTTTTTTTAAGTATATCATGTTTGTACTCATAATATTATTATTGAAAGTGTACATCTTCTCTACATATAATAAAAGAAAGAGTCTGTCTGTGTGTGTGTGTGTTTTTCGTTTGTTCTGCGCGTAAACTAATAGACCCACGACTACGAAATTTGGTACATAGGTGTATCTAGACAAGAGCCAGTGCACCTCGAAGCGATTTTTTCGAAATTCGAATTCGAATTTTATTTATTTTATGTTTTGTGACGAAATCGCGTCATTTTGAGACATTATGGGATATAGGAGAGCGAGATTTTACTCTACACACTCTATTTTCACATAGTCATGAAACGTAGGCACTTGGCTATTTTACGAACTTAAAATAAATTTCGCGTTTCAATAAATCGATTCAATACGAATTTATTTAACAAAGGGAGCTTAACACCTTTTCAACGGGATTTTTTTCTAAAAATAGTTTATTTTTTAAAAAGTACAGTTTATTTTTCTTTGATTTTTGGACACTTGAAACTTTTATCCTTGCGACTGCTTTTACAAAAAGAATTTTGGAAAAATGATAAATGATAATATTTTGTATTTTTAAAGAATTTTTTAAATGAAGCTTCCGAGTACACTTCTCACATCTTTAAATATGTGATTTTGGCTACAATATATATATACATTTTTATTGACTTTTTTTAATAAAGTTGCTCTGCAGAGTAAAATTCTGCGCTGAATTTTATGTTTTTTGAGTTGCTTTCATGTTATTTTTTGCTTATTTCACTGTTTGTAAGATATTGAAAAGTTTTGCATGATTTTTTTTCTTCAACGGAAAGTTGGTTAATTTTTTATTAGGATAATTAATATTTGTATTAAGGGATATACCTTATTTCATTGTAATCTTTTTCTCTTGAAAATATAAGATAAAATATCATTAATTATACTTTGCTTTTCAGAATTTTTTTTGTTTTTGTATTCTTTTATGTTATTTATTGCTCATTTCTTTGTTTTTAAGATACTGAAAAGTTTTGAGTGATTTTTTTTTAGGAAACAAAGTTCTTAACCTCCTTTATACCATTTGAGTTCTTAAGATTTTGCAAAGGGAAGTTGGTTAATTTATTTATTAGGATAATTAATATTTGTATTAAGGGATATTGCTTATTTCATTGTAATTTTGTTATACGTAATAACTTTTTTTTATGAAGTTGTTCTGCAGAGTAAAATTTAGGATTAAGCAGTTTTTAAATTTAACGTTTGGTGTTCCCTTCAGCCATTTTTCCGGTACATTTAAAAGCCAGACGAAGGCTGGCAGCGAAGCTGCTAGTTGTTTATATTTAGAGCAATACAAGCACATGTCTACACAGTTCATTACCCGTATCTATAATGTCCCCGTATCCTTTTTTTGCTCAGAGGAAAGCAAATTTTCTTTAACACTTTTCTAGATACCAGCGATATGAGGAAAATGTCCCAGGAAGTCCATTTTTGTTAATTTTTAAATTTTTGTTTATTTACATTTCTTGAATTTGTTTTAGTTCACCTTTGATCCATCTGATGTTTCTATAAATTACTGCCAGTTTCAGTCACTAATTTCTAAAGATCTTTTAACATTACCGTTTGCGCTAGTTGCACTAATTCCGTTGGTTCTGTGTTGCCATCTCTGAATGTGATATTTGAATTTTAGTTTAATTTAAATTATTACCCCTAAATTATTGCAGCTTTTATCGCAGCCTTCAACTTTCTTTAAACTTATTATTTTTTATTCTTATTAAATACGTATGTAATGAAAACGATTTTGCAATATTTATGGCGTCGAACATAGAACCTTGAATGCGTAATGAACAGCAAACTTGGCCGTCGAGGAATATTAAATATTCATCTTTATTTCACTTGTCACTCTAATCGTGACTATTCGAAAACACTTACATTTTTAATATTCTTGCGATAGGAAAAGACCAGCGAGGCAGTATCGTAGCGAGAACATGGACAGAAGCAAAAGTGCGGAATTATACAATATGGAAGCTTATAAGGTATTTCTCCCACTTTCCTAGCGTCCTTCGTGGTGTAGTGGTTCTGCACTCTGGGCCTGTATTCCACAGGTCCGTGGTTCAATTCTCGGCGAAGGCGGTTGCATATTTTTCATCTTTTCTGCTTCCAATTAACCTAATGACTCTACAAGCTCACCTAGAAAAAGTTCCGAATTAGTTACGTCATGAATGTTATCAAGTCATATGTATGGACCGATCTAGGAATTACTCAGTCAAGAGAAATTTTGATGCATTGCAGGTGCTAGGTGGGAGACGTATAAAAATCTAAAGGAGGAATTTAAAGAGCTACAGCTAATTACGTTAGTAATTTGTTAGAGATTTATTTTTTTTATTTTATATTTTACATATAAATTTAGAAAGCTATACCTGATTAAGTTAGTAATTTATTAGAGGTTTAATATTTTATATTTTACACATATATAAGATAAAAAATATGTAAATCAAATTTCTAACATGATTTGTAATAGTTGCTTAACTTTTCATTTTCGTTTGGCTGTTACTTCCCACAATAATTTAATTTTAAATGATTTTTCACTTTGATCCTTTCTTTAGATTCTTTGAAACTAGTCCCTTAGTTCTATTTTGAACCAAGTCCCTTAGTTCTATTTTACTATCTCTTAAAATGGTCCTTGGATTTACTTTACATTTTAATTCAATTTATTACCACTAAGCTGCTGCAGCTTTCATCGCGTGATTCAGCTTTCTTTAAATTTGCTGTTTTTATTATATTCATGTATATATTTTTTATGATAAAAATATGTAAAGTAAAATTGTAACCTTAATCTACAATAGTTTCTTAATGCTTCATTTTAAAGTGGTTTTCCCTTTCTGTTCTAAAAATAATAGTTTGCTTATAAAGTAAATAGAGAATAAGTAAAGAGTAGTAATTTTCTCTCTGAATTACTAAGTAAAAGAAGAGTCATTTGCTCTCTGAACTGCGTTGTTTCAAAATTAATAGCCAATTAAGCTATGACTTTTAATGACTTTTACATAACTCAAATATGAATTATCACATGGAGTCTGACGGGATCTATTTTTCTTTACCTATGCGTCCAAGAAATGGAAAATTCATCTACGGCTTTACAAAGCGTGGTAACAGCAAGTTTTAAATCTTTTGAGTTTGATATCTGGATAATTTTCCAAACATGTCATAAAGTCCTTGTTTCTGTTCTGCTCAGTTTCTAAGAATAACAAACCAAATTTTATTTCTAACTCTTACGGTACGGTGTGCCCACTCTGGGTACATTTCAAAAATTCCCTCTGTACACACAGAAGCATTGAATGAAAATGGATTTACAAGTTACTATAGGTTACTCTAAACCCTCTTTATTTATACTAGATGGCAGCACAACACAAATCAGTCCATCTATTTTAGCCATGTTTAGTTTTTAAAGACTTTCATTTTTCAAAGAAATCTTCCAGATCTTTTTAGGATATAAAAGGAATTGTTTAAAATGAAATTTCTATGTTATTTCCTTATTCTATTCTAGTTTTAAATTTTTACCATGAAATATTACCTAAAATCGAACGGCGAACATCTGGTGTGCCCATAGTGGGATTACTGAAACACTAGGAGCAAACCAATCAACCGCATCTTTGTTTCACTGCAGTTCTCCGATGAGCTCGTTCACAATAGAAAGGTGGGTCCACGTCTGTGTTTCATTTCCTGTTTTTTTTTGGGGGGGGGAAGTTGTTCTTTGGAGGGGAGGCTTGGTTATCAACTAATAAATTGTTGACGTGTTTTTCTGATCGTCAGGAGTAATTTTATCAGTTAGCTCTTTCGATTTTCACTAGTGCAGTTCTCTTTTTTTTTTTTTTCTTTCGCTTTCGTTAGCTCTTAGTTTTGTTAGCTCTACGTTTTGATTTTTTTCAGTTGTAGATGTTTATTTAATTTTATTTTATAGTTTACATTTTCTAATTTTACATATAATATTAGTTTATTTTTTTCTGATTTTTAATTATTTTGCAAATGGATCAAAGAGGGCTGGCCATTTCTGAAGCACTGAAAGTGCTACACGAATTGCCTTCAGATATTAAATCTGATACGGATCCCGGTATATGCGCAAAACATGCAGTGTTGGATTGTGCTTTTTCGAAGGTGTTGACAGTTTCTTCGAAAAGTACCACGATGAAAAAAAATAGACGAAAGTGTAAATATGAAATGTAAATATCATATACCCAAGTTACTTTTTTTTTTTCATTTAGCTGCATTTAGCCATCATATAACCAAAAACAGCTTTTTTGTTGGGGGGGTCTAGAGTAGCAGTCCTCCCCGTGGCACACCTTCAGTATGTTAAATCTGCTACAGTATTCAGAATCTAGTGTTTTTTAATCGTAGGAAAAATCTTTTTTTTATTCTATCAGTCGCTTCAGCATTCCTTTCGAAACCCTATTCATTCAATGAGCCCGTTTCGGCATACCCACAGAATTAAAATGGAAGTGTTCTCTTTACAGAATTTTAGCTGTGTAAATTTTAGCCTCTAGGCCTGATTAGACTGCCTATCCCTTTTTTGTTGAAATTCCAACTTTAAAAGGTAGCGTGCCGGAAAGGTGTAATGAGCTGTAATTTGATTAGAGCTTTAAAGATGTCGTTAACCAGTGCTCCAAAACTAGTGACTAGGCTGCAAGTAAAATGAGTCATCCAGCATAAATGTGTTGTAAAGTGATTAAACGAGCTAATAAGCGCTCGATGACAGCGCTCTGAAAAGAACGTTATGAAGGTCATCACTCTACAAAGAATATGCCTTGAGCTACCATATGGCAGATATTTTTTTATTTCCAATCTTCGTTAACGTTCATCAATCGAGAGCTTAAAACTATTATATACGAGTGAACTTAATTAGGTGCATTTCTTAGGGAAGCAAAATCGACACGTCACACATAAATTTAATTATAATTTCTGTAATTTGTTATTGCTTTGAAATGAAAACATAGAATATTGTTCAAAGAATGAAAACTTAATTATCCTGATATTTTCTGTAAATAGTTTTGCATTTATCAATTTTGAAAACATTTTGTATTGTTATCTCCTTAATTACCTAAAAATTATTTCCTTAACATGAAGTAAATAATTTATTCAATAACTATTATTATTCAATTATTCAATAACCTAAATATTATTATTCAATAACCTAAAAATTATTTCCTTAACATGAAGTAAATAATTTATTCAATAACTATTGCTATTTGAAAATTTAAGCATTTATTGCTGTCTTTTTTGGCTTTTAAAAATTATGTTGTTTTCAAAATTATGAAATTAAATAAAATTTTATATTATAAACTTATTGTTCAGTAATTAATTATAATTAAACAGTTGTTTAAAATTTTGAATTATTTTTTAAGAATTTTGCTGTTATTTCGAGAATGAGATAAATAGGGAACATAAGGGCTAATGAAATAATTTTGAAAATTTTACTGAGAAAAAATTGTGTAAACTGAAGTTTTCAGTATTAATATAAGATACAGAAAACTCTGACAATTAATATAAAAATATAAAATTGAATAATGGTAGTAAAATTTGATACGGTGAATATAATTAAAAGGGAAATATGCAGAAAAAAAGCAACTAGAAATTACGATAAACGAATTGACGTACAGAGAATGTTGAGTGAATTCAAAATCATAGAGGAGTATGGTTTAACCTCTGAAACTAAATTGTTCCTTTTACGCTCTCACGCTAGAAAAATTTGAAGGTTATCACCTTTATGTTTGAGTGTAATAATATTTACATAAAGTTCTTTTTTAATATGGAATGTTTTGGAGCAGTTTTCAAAAGGCCAGTTACCTTATCCAAGAAATGGAGACCTTTTCAAGTAATGATCGAGCATCCGTTTACCACCGGTGCTGTTGTATACCAGTCAGTCAAAACAGATATGCCTAATTTAGAGTAAATCTTAATTTTGAAGAACTGCAGAGCCTTTCAGATTATGTAAAATACGGATTTGAAATAAAATAACAGTGTAACCACAATTTTAACAGAGTATCATAATATTTACGAGTCTAAAACGTAAGTTATAATCATGAAAATTACAGAGTCATAAAATTTTGATATTTGCTATAATTAATTGAGATAAATAATGAGTGTGTAAAAGTTTTCATTTGTGGTATTCTTGGAAAAGTTTTGTTAAGCCTTCCCTGAAGAATCAGGAGATTTAAGTAACAAGAACCTTTTAAAATTCGACTGAAATATTGATAGCACTCTAAAAATTCTGATTATTTTCAAAACTTTTGTGCTCGAAATGTGCGTTCTACATTATTTTAAAATTATTTAGCTCAATTTTCGTGATTTATATTTTGCACGTTATATTTCCTTGCTTTAACGTTCTTTCTCTAAAAGCCCGTTTCTATCCCCAATCCTTTTCCTTTTTAAAGGATGGAACATGTAGGATAAAATTATATAAGGCAAAATTCTAATTTGTAACCAATCCATAACCAACATAAACTGTTGGACTAACTGTGACAACAAGGCTGCCCTCTGGTGAGTAGCCAGAGAAGTACTTCAGTAAAAGCCAAGCATCCCACTTGATAGGTTGTATCAGACTCTTTATCTGTAATTTTCTTAAAGTTAAATATAATGTCCGTGTGTAACTTAAACCTGTTAATAAATACTTGTTACACTATACAGGACTCTTCTATGACCCTATCTAAAACGACCCCCACACAAATTTTAACTTACTGTAACTCCTTAATTCTTCATTTTAATACGGGTATTTCCTAGTTTTATTCTAAAAATAGAAACTTGCTTGTAATATTATCTAACTGGGTCCACCATATGATTTTCACATGTCATATGAAGTCACGTGGTGTGCCCATCAGGTATATTTTCAAAACTTTTGGCCATGTTATCGACTTTATATAAATTATTTATGTGCAATTATTTGTATTATGATTATATTGTATGCTTCATATTATAGAGAAAAATATAAGAGTCATAAAACCATCCTTTTAAAAGAGGTCGATTTAGGAATCTCTAAATTAGGTATTAAGTAAAATTTTCCTTCTTGGAATCTTTATCAATCACGTATTTTGCCTCTAAAACAATGTTTTGCGAACCTCAAATTGAAAAGCATCATACAAAATATGTACAGTAATTTCTGAGAAAAATAGAAAACTCTTAAGTTTTGCTCTTAAGTAACTCTTAAGTTAAACTGTACGAAAAACATGGACTTTTTTAAACATTATTTTTATATTTTTTACAATCCTTGTACTTCTCTTGGGAACTTAAACTATGGGCATTTACTGTGGGGCGATACGCAAACTTATAATTTAATAAGTACTGAAGTAGAACAGGAATACTTAACTCGGAATTTGTTACCATGATTTCAGTGTAGCAGAATTTAACAGTAAACGGACACATGCTTCTACTTGCAACTCAGCAGAGCAACTTTATTAACCTTCCGGCACGCGCGTATGCGCAAAATTTACGACAAATTCAGTTTTTAATGCACATTTTTCGCATATCGAAGCTGAGACGTCTGAAGGTAATTTCTATTCCTTCTTTCTACTCTTCCTCAGATCATGGAATGTGCCAACGGGAAGTCATTTGACTTTTTTTTTTAACTGGGCTTTTGTGCTACGTGGCAGCTTTTTCATAAAAGTTATGACACGCGCGTGGTCGTGTTTTAAAATTCGGAAAATGTTTTTTTCTCAAATATTTTGTTATTTTGTGCTATTAATTGCCGTGCATTATTTTAATCTGAATACATTTGGCTCTGTAAATTTTATATCGGTTTTCATGGCAAAAAAATATGTGCAACCAGCTGATTTTGCTCAGATTCATCAAGAACTACCTGATGAAGAAAAGGAAGACAAGGAAACCTTTGGATGGGAGAACAATAGCGATTTCCATTCCTTATTTTCTTGTATTTCTATTTTTTAGAAATAAATAAAAACATTAAAGTTATTTTAAAGTGTGTTTTTGTAACCTGTAAGAAGTCAATTTCCTTGCAGAAGTAAGTAAAGCTAAACTTACTTTTTTTCCTACCAAAATGTTTTCCTTTTTTATTGCCTATACTTGTCTTTGTGAATATTAAAATTAGCTTCGATTTTAAAATATAATTATTAAATAATAAATTAAAAATGTTCTGTAATGAAATACATCATTGCATTTCCATCTCACTAACATAAGAACTTAAAAATAATTTACTTATATTTGAATGTGATATCATTTATATTTTGCAATAATAAGATTAGTACTTTATTTCTTAACAAATTTATTATCAATATTCACTCATTTTTGTCGTTTTTCGTTTCAAAAACTGTAAAATAACGGATGTCATAAAAAATACGACGCGAGCGTGCTCATGTAAAATTGCCAAACATGCGTGCTGGAAGGTTAAATGTCTGACTCAAAAATCAACTTTGGAAATGCATGCATGAAAATATTCTGTGTGTCGGTATCAAATAACAATCAAAATTAAAAAATTACCACTTACCGTTCAAAAGCTTAACTCAGACTAAACTTCATTGCTAATGCGTGAGGGAAAAAAAAAAAAAAAAAAAAAAAAAAAAAAAAAAAAAAATCAGAATCATGGTTTAATTCAGTGCAGGTAAATCACATAATTACCGTTATCGCATATAATTCTATCTTCTGATAATTTCTTTGCGTTGGTCAACATATACCCTCTTCTGAAGCAAGTTCTTGTGCGCGTGAAATCTGAAGTGACCGGATAGAAAGCATTACATCAACTGATTACAAATTTACAATAAATCGATCTAGAATTCAAATTGATTGCTAACTTATTAACATGACACAAAATCGCTTTGTTTGAGCATATACATTAAGTTCACTTGTTAGGTCAAATTTTAAGTTTTCTTGCTTTTTAACAGCAGGCATGCTTAGTTTGCTCTGAAAAGCTGTTCAAATTCTTGCGTCTTCTTCTAACTACCTTCTTTTTCTCTTTAAAAATTCAACGTTTATTTTTACTTTTCATACAATATACCTTTAGCTGAAAAAAAAACTATTTCGAGTAGTAAACATGAAAATGAAAGAATGTAGCCACTTACTAGAAGTTTCATAAAAAACTTCAAATCTTCTACATTATTCCATTCTTTAATATCCTTCTCTTTGCTATAGGCATTTTGGGAACTTTTTTTAAGCAATTCGTCTCTCAGAAACTTTTGATAGAGACCACATTCTCGAAATTTAGATATCGCAGAATTCAGTCTTTCTGAACAGCAAAATTCTTTACTAAATACAATGCCAACATACCCCGATAAAAGCACATCATCTGAGATATAAACTTCTTTCCCAATTTCTGAACCAAAATCGTAAAGTAGATTCGTTTCAGCGGCAATAATAGCAGACGTTTTATCTAAATTCTGAGAAAGTGACTCATCTCCATTCAGTTTCCAATTATATCTTTCAATATATTCTGCTAGAGCTCTCATTTCCTTACGTTTAGCACTTTTGAGCAAGCTTAAATGAACTGTTTTGTCTATTACAAAGCATTTATAGTTCCCATTTCTGACTGCTGCTTCCAGCTCTATAAAATTCCTTACGGGTAATAATTTTAAAGGCACTGTTAGAAAAGAAGATAAAACAGCTTTATAACAAGATGATAAAACGAAAGCAAAGATTATCCAAGCTATAATAAGTATTTTTCTTTTTAATGAGTTAGCTTCGATGGTTAAAGGTTGTCCCGTTATGGAGCCTACCATTTGAAAGAAAAGTTCAACAGAACTGAATGATTCTATTGAAATGATATGAAATGAAATAACTGCAAGGCTTAACGTGACGAAGGAACTGATCCAAATGGTAGACTGGAAAGTATGCAAGTAGGCATTTGCTTTTGATGCTAATCCGGGTATGCGTGCTACGAATTTTATGCTATCGGAGAAATAGTATTCACTAATATTTAGTGCCTCGAATCTTTGATGAGTGATGCCAAGTGCACACAAAGCCATATCAGCTTCTTTTCTTTGAACCATTCCTATGATACCGGTCCAGTTTCCATCCTGTTGCAAGCGTCCCCATTCTCTGTCTGGAGGAGTAAGCAACTCGTAGCGAAATCCTAGGGCTTCGGACAACGTCTGCAAAAACCTGGCTTCAGTTCCTGAAATGGAATAGTTGCTAGCGTTGCCATTAATTATGAAAAACGGGGGAAATGCTACTACGGCAATCTTTAGAAGATTTGGAAAAGGCATACTTTAAAAAATGTACCATCAGCGTTTGCAAACTGAATCACTATGCTCTTTCTAACTTGCTGTTATTTGTCTATTATTCCACTGATTACTTTTACTGTGAATGCTTTCGTGATTTTCTTAACATAAGTGCATGCCTATATAATTCAACTCTTTTTTCACGAAATAATGGTTTACTTAGTATGAGCACTTAAAAATGGCGTCTCACGAAAAAAGCAAACGAATATTTTAAACTTCTTGTTAGAATTCGCTTTCACCGATAATTTAACCGTATACATTTTTTCTTCAGTGAATAATTTGTGCTTTGCATTCAAAGAATTTTTCTTCTCCTCGCTAGCTCGATCACTGGATCTTGTTATTCCATATCGATCTTTGGTGAATGACTGTACTTACGGGTAGTGCTTAAGTCGTTTCATATTTAACGCATACCCGACTGGCATTTTCGTTCCTAATACTTCTAAGCAATAGCTTTAGCAAGCAAGTCGAATTATGAATTATTTGCCATAGATTTTGGTTTACCGTAGCATTTGTAAAAACTTGTCGTTTATTTGAAATAAGTTATCAGGAGGGAGAAATTCAAATAGCATTCTTTATTTACCAAAACTGCATTCACAAAGAAAGACAGTTAAGAAAATCTTAACCTATGAAATGATTAGTGAAAGCAAAATTTCGTTCTTGCATTTGAACAAAAAGGTCATTCGAGTATTTTCCTGGAAACAATGTGTAAGAGCGAATATCACTTTTATGAGCTTTTCAGGCTCCGTATAATCCTATTTTTTAAAATCCTTTACAGTTATTTATGCACTCGTAGGCAAAATAAAGTGAATTTGCAAGTTATGTCTATTTTTACCAAAGGTAGTGAACTAAAGGTACTAATTATGCCGCCGAAGAATTAAGCAAATATTCAGAGTTGAATACGTAAGCATACACTTGCGTATCTGCAAAGCTGTAATTGTTGATGGGATATAATCGCCCAAGTTTTCGGCGATTTGTGTGCTCGTACTCCTTCACGACATTCGCCGTGTTTCTCGCAAGTATTGGGTAAATTTTATAAGATATCAGGTAAAATGAGTAGCCACAAATATATGCATGACGTAATGAGATGGAGAATTGTAGGTAGATTGGAGGTAGTCTAATGATAAACGCGGGTGTCGACAGAACTCAGTGTAACACACAGTGTCGTTTGCTATTCGTGGAAAAAGTTTCAGGATAGTGGATCCATATGGAGAAGACTTGGACAAGGTCGACGAAGATCCGCAACGACGAATGAGGATCGTCATTTGGCGCTTTCAGCGCCGCAACACAGAACTGCTACAACTTCACGTGCATTGTATGCTGCCACTGGAACCTGAGATTTACGATCTGCAGTTGTCTGAAGGCTTCATGAGACGGGCCGTATGCCTAAAAACCCGCTTTTTGTGTCTTGCTCACTGAAGCGCAGAAGAGAGCGCGTTTAACATGACGCAGATAACGTGCGCCTTAGACCAGACTACAGTGGAACACCTTGAGTTTCACAGATGAGTCAAGATTCAGCCTGGACACTGATTCTCAGCGTACTTTTGTCTGAAGAGATCCTGGGACACGATACCATCGCTTTCTCTTCAGGCAAAAGGATCATTACAGTGATGGAGATGTAATGGTTTGAGCACGCATTATGCTGGACCGTTGCACATCCCTCCATATTTTTGGTAAAGGCTGTTTGACTGCTATGAGGTATATAGAGAGAATCTTAAAGCTCTATGATAGACCTTTCAGGGACACAGTTTGCTCCGAGTTCCTGTTAATGGACGACAACCCTGGTCTACATACGACTCAGCTGGTAGCCGATTCCTGAAGATGTTCGCCGCATGGGTTGACCAGCCACATCTCCTAACAGTACAGCAAGTCTGAGACGCTCTTAGGAGGGCCATCTCGGAGCTGAAAACTGGCTTGCTGCATAAGTGGAATCGACTTCTATACAGACTCCTCAACTGCCTCCTGTTTAGTATGCCGTCAGTTTGCGCGACCTGTGTGACTGTGAAAGAGGACCTCACCCTATATTATATTTATTTTCAGTTGTCGATAAATGTATTTTCATAGAAAACCTCATTAAAACCCGCCCATCAGTTTTTCAGAAATTCCACTCAATGTGCAAATTTTCTTTATTTTGCGCAGTAGTGAATTACGTTTGCGGCTCGTTATTTTAATACTTTGGCTAAATTTATTTGTAACATGATTCTTCTTTATTTTTTGTTTTCCAATGGCGGGCACTTGCCTATGACGGCATTGGCCACGCCTAAGGCCAGAAGTGGTGGGTATTTTGTTGTGGAGGTACCTAACAGGCAGCCACCGTTATCTCCTATACAAGGATAGACAATTTTACATTCATGCCTTCTCCGGGATTCGAACCCGGCCCTTTCAATATTGTAGTCAGCTCCCCTAACCACTAGACCGTCTGGGCGGCTATTCTTCGATAATTACTGTTTGCCACATTTTAAATTTAAATTTGTATTTGTTGATAACAGGTATCATTAGTTCTGTTATTAATAATATCTGTTTGATGTTTTTCGATAATGCTTTTAATAAAAGAACATTTTACTTTATACTTATATTTACAAAACTGATTGAGTTGAAATCGAAATACGGAAAACATTGGTATGTTACTTCAGAAGTGATCGGATTTTGTGTCGAAATACCTATGTTAGAACAATGCTATATATAAATCTAATATATATCTTAAGTCGCCCTTCGCGCTTTCGAGACATGGAAAACGCTAGCTAAATTTCGACAATCAGTCCAGTAGAACCGGAGCTCCAGAGCTATAAAACTATCTTTTTTTTTTTTTTTTTTTTTTTTTTAAAACAAGGTGTATCTAAAAGTCCAGTAATTTCATAAAAGTCGGTTTGATCTTTTGTCAATTCGTCCGTTTTTACTGGTAGAAATATAGATTGTACGGAATTGAACAAATAACATATAAAAAGAAAAGTTGAGAAAATCATCATGTGAATTATTACATGTTTTACCATCATCCTTTTCGATTTTTAACTGCCTAGAAAATTTTATTTTTTCAGAATTTATAAATGTAGCAAATATATTCAAGAGATAGTCTCGATGCAATGTAAAACTCGTCTTGCTCTATAATACACTTTTCATATACTTTTATTTCTCATGGTTAGCGGATATTGCTTTGCGTGATATGAATTCTTCCATCAGATTTGCTTATTGAGATAAAAGAAATAAACCAAAGCAGGCTACATTCTTTTACGTTTTAAATCTTATGCAAATAGTCTCTTTTTATGAACCTCCTGCCAATTTATATACGTAGAAAAGAAAGGTAATGTTTTTGCTCCAAAAATTCGATAGTGATTCTCCAGTGAATAAGCATGCATTAGAATCCCCACTAGGACAACGCAAGGAAATAAGTCACGCATTAGGAAAACATAGGAAAATAAGTCAGTTATTGCTTATGATCCGCTGCTGTAATTCTATGTTATGATGACAAACAGTTAATCTAGTGCCATAATTTCGAACTCATCGTTTACCTATATCTTCAAGGCTTGTTTGTAGTAAAATTATGCTTGGAAACTCAATCACAATAACAGACGCATTATTTAGAAGAATATTTTATCAAAATGGCTACTTACAATTGCTTTCGTTCTTTCTTTTCTTAACCAAAATATCTTGTCATATATAACAAAACACCACGGTATTATGAGACCTGAAAGTTTTTGAACAGCGTACCATGCTGCAAAATGTATATCCTGCTGTAAAAACATTTGTTTGCCTATTTTACAAACTTTGAGCGTAGGGAGGGGATGTTATCATCTAGAAAGGATAAAAAATGATGATAAAAGTTGTAATATTATAAGGTATTTCTCCCGCCTTCTTTGCATGCCTTCTTGGTGTATTCCTAATTTTTCAAAATACCTAATGTCTCTACAATATGTCGTGCATTGAATTTCGTAGTTTTCGCTTTTGCGTGCTCTTTTATTAACCCTGTGGTTTCTACAGCTCTACCAGAAAATCCTGAAATAAAAAACGAGCTACAGAAAAGGACAGAAGAGCAAACTGGCAAGCGCTTCTATGCTGTTGCTTCCACTTATCGATGGTATGTATGCGCTGAGTATCAATACTTCGGATGCACTTATCAATACGTATGCTAATCAAAGTTTTCCTTCTTTTATGAGTAAACAATCATACTGAGCTAGAATTCGCATTTTTCAACAGCAGAAAAATCGCCCGTTGATCGAAATTTTCTTAACAGAAGTCCGATGTAAGTTGCCGCCTAACCGATACAGTGGTTAGCATCGCTGACTGCGGTGCCGAAGGACCCGGGTTTAAATCCTGGAGAAGGCATGGAAGTTTGTAAATGTATAGTGTGGTGCAGAGGGGTGGCACTCTAAATATACAGCGAATAGGAAGTCCTCTCGTGTAAATGGAAGGGGAGGAGGGTGGAAGACCTTCAGACCCGTTTCTCCCATCAAAACTGGGGGCGGAACTTAGGTATATCGCACTGTCACCGGAAACGTACTCAAGGCTGTTGCCAACGGCACGCTTAACCATTTGCGGCACAGTGTGTACGGTCTGGACACACCTCAAAATTTCCTTCTGTACGCAAGAAAAATTGAATGAAAAAGGATTTATAAGTTACTCTGAACCTTCTTTATTTATAGGAGATGGCAGCTCAAATACAAACCAGTCCATATATTTTAGCCATGTTTAGTTTTTTAAGACCCTCATTTTTCAAAGAAATCTTCCAGATTTTTTTAGGGTATAAAAGGAATTGTTTGAAAAGAAATTTCTATGTTATTTTTTGGGTGTATGCTAATCTCCTTATTCTGTATTAGTTTTAAATTTTTACCTTGAAATCTTGCCTAAAATCCAACGGTGAACCCTAGGTGTGCCCAGATAACCTATCGGGCTCACCGATAACCTAGGACAACTGAGAGTCTGTGTTCTTCGTTTCTCCGCATCTCATTGGTCAGTTACAACAATGCTCGTTTCAGCACTCTTTTCGAAGCTCT